CGCCCGGCGCCGGCCCATGCCGCCCGCCGCGCGTTCACTGCCCGCACCGCGGCGCCCAGGACATGCCGCGCCCGGCCTTCGACTACTGCCCCGGCCGCTGATGAACTCGGTGCCGTCGCCTCCAGGAGGACTCCGAACCCTCTCACACCCACGGGGTTGTCAAAACTCTAAGCCCGCGAGGGTGTTCGTGTCTCCGCTCCGCTCTAACGCGGTCTCACAGACGCGCAGTGCGCACGCGCACGCCCGCCGCGGCTCTCTCCGCGCAAGCGCAGGACGCGTCAGCACTAGCGGGCCGCGGAGCCGCGGAACCCGGCGCGGGATCGCGTTCTCCGCCCCCTTGTGACGACAGCTTCCCCCTTCTCCGTGCAGGGCGTCCGGCGGCGGAGGGGGTCCTGGCAGAGGTTAGTGAGGGTCAGTAAACCTTTAGGAAGAAATCCTCGACTTAAGACTGTCTCCACTTCAGGAGTGATGCGCCGGCAAGTACGAGCGCAGCCTTTACGTTTGACCACAGGGATTTGTCCAAGGTCACACCAGAAACCACTGGTGCCTCTGGCCTCTTACGGGAGGCAGCATAGATTTAAAAATAAATCTGGCTTTAAACCCCGAATCCACTGCGTCCTGGTTCGAGGAAACCACTATCGACCTTAACAAAATACTTGTCCTCCACAGTTGGCAGAGGTGGCGGTCGGCCATTCCCTCTCCCGAGGCTTCGCACTCTGGCTCCGGCGCCATAGGGCTGGGGGCGGGGGGCCGCGCCCCTCTCATTCTTCGGAGGGGGGCAACTCGGCTCCGGGCAGGTGTCGTCTGTGCCTGACACCCCACCCTCCTGAGGGGGCTTCGGGTTTCTGATCTTCCGTCTCTGCAGGGAGACTGCTGCTGCATCCTCGTTATCCTAAGGCGCATTATGGGCTCAGTGGCTTCATCTTTCGGGATGCCAGTATCTGTCCCACAGAGTTGGATCATATGTGTGAAGGGCCTGGCCGAGCCCTTTGTGCATATCTAAGGTGCTAAGGCCTTGTGGGTCCCTTGCCCTCCTAGATACATGGCACCTGCCCTCCTTGGCCCCTCTGTTTCCTCTGACCCCTACATTCCCCAAAGGGCCTTGTTGGGGATTGACACCCCTGTAGCTACAGCCACCCATTCTGTGGGCTCAGGCAGAACACAAACGCCAGTTTCACAGGGTCAGGCTTTATTGGATACACTGAAGGCTGAATCGGGCCTAAAGGGCCTTGTTGGGGATTGACACCCCTGTAGCTACAGCCACCCATTCTGTGGGCTCAGGCAGGACACAAACGCCAGTTTCACAGGGTCAGGCTTTATTGGATACACTGAAGGCTGAATCGGGCCTCGGATGTCCTTGGTCCTCTTCAGCCAGGAGAGAGCAGACTCCACAGGGGGCTCCCAGGGTTCAGGGCAGGAGAACACACCTGACCTCCAGCCAGCCAGCCCTTCAGGGTATCTCGGGGGCTCCCCGAGATCTGGTGCTTGACAGGGAGGGTGGGGTTTGGAGGGGGTGCTCCAGGGACCCTACGTGGCTCTGGGACTAGGATGGCAACTTTTGGAGAATGGGCTCTGGAGAGGCAGGCCTCTTTGGGGCAGGGGAAGGGGACGGCCTGGGCTTTGGGGAGGCAGTGGCCTGTTTTGGCACCTGCCGTGGAGACCCGGAACATCGGGTGGAGTTTAGTAACTGATGGCCTGCAGACCTGAGGCTCCCCGTCTGGGAGGGTGTGCCTGGGGCTAGGTCTGCCCAGGCCTGAGCCTTTGGGGCTTGAGCTGCTGGGGCCTGAGATGCCTGCACTTGACACCCACAGGCCTGAGCGGCCTCGCCCAAGGGCCTTACTTCCTCCGGCCTTCTTTCTGGCAACAGATGCAAGGCTCTGGCCAGTCCCTGAGGCAGGCGGAGGCCGAAGCCGATGCCTATGCGGAGCGGTCCAGATTCCTGGCCCTGAAGACAGGGCAGCAGTTGGGGGAAAGCGAGCAGCCGGGGTACAGTCCTGTACCTGGGCATGGGACAGGAGGGGCTGCGGGGCCGGAGGCACACCAGGCATATAGGATACTCCATGACTGGGGCCTGGCCGGCTCTGCCTAGCCACAGGCGCTGCAAAAGCAGTAGCCGCAGGTCGTGTGCGATGCGTCGGTGCCCCAGGTGGACTACCACGGCCTGGGCTAGGGCCCCTGGGTCCCTGAACTCTGCAGGGTCCTTCTCGCTTTCCACACATCCCCCCACCACCACAGGGGACCCGGTGTCCCTGTACTGAGGCGAGCGCCATGTCAGCCTGTTAGAGTGGACCCCACGAGAAGGAAGGCTAGGGCTTGGGGAAGTGAGCGTGGAGCCGGGGAGGTCTTCGGGGTAGGAAGGAGACTGGCAACGTGAGTGGGGAAGAGAGTTCTGTGGCTGAGAGAGAGAGGAGGAGAGAGTCGGAGGAGCAGAAGGGAGTAGCTGGTGGTGGTTGGAGGGAGAGGAGGAACGTGGAAGGGAGAGAGGGAGGTAGTTCTTGTGTAAGAAATTGGGAGAACTTGGGAGAAAGGAAGAGCAGGATTGTGGAGCAAAGTCAGAATTTGAGTTGGAAGAGTAGAAAGAGAAGCCAGGAGAGTGGGACCGTGGAGGAGGGGAGAAGGGAAGGTGGGATTGAGTGGAAGAGGAGAAAGCTGGGTGGGAGGGAGGAAGTGACTGATGGGGAGAGAAAGGCTGTAGATTGTGGGGAGGGGAGTCCACAAGTTGTGAGAGGCCCTGAGGAGGGTGCCCCAGGGGCACTGCCTTCTCTAGCAGCACCTGCTCCTTGTTTTGAGGCAACATTGCCTTCAATACAGAAGGGACTGGGGTAACAAGACCAGGAATTGGAGATTCAGCAGTCTCAGGACCAGTGTCTCTGAGGCCAGCTATGGCTGAGAAATCAAGGCCACCTTCTGCATGCAGAGTGTGGCTCCAGCCTGATGTTGGTGGCAGGCCAAGGAGACATCTAGCCCTCTAGCACCAGGCTCTGTAGGTGCTCAGGCAGGAGCTTTGGTCTAAGCTTGGCTTCTCAATTCTTTGCAGCAACCATTGATGAGGGATGTATGAGATGGAGATTGGAGATCAGAGCTGCCCCTTGGGAGCTGAAGGGCAGCAGCGATTATCTGGGTGCGGCGAGGAGGAAGACACAGCCCATAGGACCTGTACAGAAAGAGACAGAGCCCAAGATATTGGGAGAATTGGGCCATTTCTGGTTCTGCCTCATGGGTCCAGTTCCAGGCTGAAATCACCAAGACCCTATATCCATTCTGTAGCTGGCAGAATGCTACAGGGAAGGTGAGAAGTGGGGAAGAGAGGAATAGGGAGGGTGGGAGGGCAGGAATGGAGAAAAAGAAGGGGCTTGGGGATGGGGGCTGAGATGGGAATGGGAATTGAGGGTGTTCTGGTGCTGTGAGCTCTTACCAATGAGGATTCCCCTGGGCTGTGTTGCAAGGCACTCCAGCAAGGAGGGGACCTGGGGGAAGAGGAGCAGAGTCATCAAACAGTGGATACACCTCCCACTGCCCCCAGCACCTGTCACCCTAAACTCACTCTGACCCAGATTTCTGTCTGGACCTTCCCTTGGTCCTCCTTCAGCCAGGCAGAAGCCTACTGTGTTACAGGTTTCTGTCCTAATCCTGACTTGGGGATTCTGCAATCATCCCGGTTTCCTGCCTCTCTGGTTCCCCTGACCCCTTGTCACCCTGATGCTGATGTCCTCTAGCTCAGCTTGGCCCCGGCTGAGATGGCTTGTCATGCCCAGCAGCAGCAGCACTAGCAGTGGGGCCAGCTGGTAAAAGCCTCTGAGAGACTGGGACTTTGTTTAAGGGGCAGTGCCCCCAATGGGAGCTGGGAACCCCATTCCCTGAGAGCAGTTCTCCCTGGCATCAAGTGCCTGTATCACAAAGGTCAGGTGCTGACATCATAGAATCTCCTACTCAAGGTTCTGGGACCTTCCTTCAGAGATCATCCAAGGGCTGGCCCTTGACAAAACTGTGAAGCAGGCAAAATTCTTTGGTGCGCTCAGTTTCCCCTTCAGGTCCTAGCCCCCACTTCTCTCTACCCGTGTACTTTATAGTTCTTACCACCTCCTCCCCCCAGTGTTCTCCCCAAACATAGGGCCAGCTGGGCTGAACCCTCTCTTCAACTTCCTGTTGTCCTTTGCTTTCTGAGAAGTGGCTCATGCTCCACACCTTTTCCCCCCTTGGAATATCCTTATTACATGTTTTAATAACTATCTTCTTAACAGATTTATTGAGTTATAATTCACATACCATGTAATCTACCCATTTAAAGTGTACAATTCAGGCTGTCCAGTTCAGTTGGTTAGAGCGTGGTGCTGATAACACCAAGGTTCAGGGTTCCATCCCTGAACCAGCAGCTGCCATAAATAAATAAATAAATAAATAAATAAAGTATACAGTTCAATGTGTTCTAGTATATTCACACGGTTACCAGCAGCTGCCATAAATAAATAAATAAATAAATAAAGTATACAGTTCAATGTGTTCTAGTATATTCACACGGTTGTACAGCCATCTCCACAATGTAACTTTAGAATATTTTGTCCTCCCCAAAAAGAAATCCTGTACCTGGTAGCAGTCACTCCCTATTTCTTCCTCTCCCCAGCACCTAGAAAACACAAATCTACTTTCTGTTTCTATGGATTTGCATATTCTAGACATTTAATATAAGTGGAATCACACAATATGTGGCCTTTTATGTCTGACTTTCACTTCGCATGTTTGCAAGGTTCATTCACCTTGTAGTATGTATCATTCCTTCACTCCTTTTTTTTTTTTTTTGGCCAAATAATATTCCTTTGTATGGATATACTGTATTTTGTTTATCCATATTTGCAAGGTTCATTCACCTTGTAGTATGTATCATTCCTTCACTCCTTTTTTTTTTTTTGGCCAAATAATATTCCTTTGTATGGATATACTGTATTTTGTTTATCCATTCATTAATTGATGGACATTTTGGTTGTTTCTACTTTTTGGTAATTATGAATAATGCTACTATGAATGTTCTTGTACATTCTAGTTTTGTGTGAGCATAAGTTTTTATCTTAAGTTGATATCTAGGAATAAAATTGCACAGTCACATGGTAAATCTATATTTTGTTGCAAGGTTGCTCGCACAGAGGAATCCAAGACCAACGTTGGTATTACAGCTTCTTATTAGTTTACAGCTCTTTCTGGTGTTACAGCACTTTATTGCTTGCAAGCATGGACAGCACAAGCATCAGGCTAGTGTCTCCAGGAATGAAGGGAAGGGGCAGCCTTATATAGCCAAAACTTCCTGCCCAAGTTCTCATTTAGGTCCTCTTATGCAAATGAGGGATGCAAGTCTGTTCATTTGGATTGGTTGGTTATGAGACATAGCTCTTTGGTCAGTTCTGGAGCCAAATTTGCATTCGGCCTTTAGTGCAGGGTAAAACCACTGTTACCTTTCATTAGCACATGGATGCAGGAGGCAAGCTAGGTTACAGAAGCCAAACTTCACAATTAAGAGGGCCAAGCATAAAATTTCTAAAACAGTTTCTCCAGTGGAAGGGGGCAGGTTTAACAATCAGAAAATGCTCAGGGTTCCCTGCTTCAATTTAACATTTTGAGGAACTACCAAATTGTCTGCACCATTTTCCAATCCCACCAGCAAGGAATGAGGGTTCCAATTTTTCCTTATCCTCACCAACACGTTATTGTCTTTTTTATTTTAACAATACTTGTAGGTGTGAAATGGTATAATATTGTGGTTTTGATTTAAATTTTCCTAATGACTAATGATATTGAGCATCTTTTCATGTGCTTATGGGCTATTTGTTTATCTTCTTTGCAAAAGCATCTATTCAAATCTTTGGCCCATCTTTTAATTAGATTTTTTGTCTTTTTGTTAAATTATAAGATTTCATATATATATTCTGGATACATGTCCTTTATCAGATGTAATGATTTGCAAATATTTTATCCAATTCTGTGGGTTATCTTTTTACTTTCTTGATGGTCTCCTTTGATGCACCAGAGTTTTTAAGTTTGATAAAGTCTAATTTATCTATTTTGTCTTTTCTTGCTTTCTTTTGGTGTCTTATCTAAGAAACCATTGCCTAACCCAAGATTTGCTCTGTTTTCTTCTAATACTTATAGTTCTGGCTCTTGCATTTAGGTCTATGACACATTTTGAGTTAATTTTTGTATATGGGGAGAGGTAGGGATCCAGTTCATTCTTTTGTATGTGGATATCCTGTTGTCCCAACACCATTTGTTGAAAAGACTATTCCTTCTTCATTGTGTTGTCTTGACACCTTTGTCACAAATCAGTTGATTATTGAATTAGTTTCCTGTTGCTCCAATAACAAATTGCCTCATATTTAGTGGTTTAAATTTAAGTACAAATTTATTGTTTTGTAGTTCTGTGGCCTAGAAGTCCAACATGGGTCTCACTGGGCTAAAATCAAAATGTCAATAGGGCTGTGTTCCTTTCTGGAGGCTCTAAGGGAGAATCCATTTCATTGCCTCTTCCATCTTCTGGAGGTTGCCCACATTCCTTAGTCTGTGGTCCCCCCCTACATCTTCAACACCAGCACCATTGGATTTCTATGACCATTCTTCCATAGTCACATCTCCCTCTGACTCTAAACTTTTCTGCCTCAGTCTTCACCTTTTTAGGACCTTTATGATTACATTGGGCCCAGCCAGATAATCCAGGATGTTTCTTTTTTAAAGTCGGCTGATTAGCAACCTTAATTTCTCCTTCCCATGTATCCTGACATATTAATAGGTTCCAGGGATTAGAAGATGAACATTTTAGGGAGAGGGGGCTATTATTTTACCTACCAAAACCATAAATGTAAGGGCTTATTTCTGTACTCTCAATTCAATTCTATTGATATTTATGTCTATCCTTATACCAGTACCTCACTGTTTTAATTATCATAGCTTTGGAGTAAGTATTGAAAGTGGGATGTATTAGTCCTTTAACTTTGCTCCTCTCTTTCATCTGGGTCTCTTACATTTCTATATGAATTTTAGGATCAGTTTGTCAATTTCTGCCAAAAAAAAACCCAGCTGGATTTTGATAGGGATTACATTGAATCTGCAGATCTGTTTGGGGAGTATTGCTATCAGAACATTATTAAGTCTTCCAATTTGTGAATTTGGTATGTCTTTCCATGTATTTAGATCTTTTTTAATTTCTTTCAACAATGTTTTATAGTTTTCAGTGTACAAATCTTAGACTTTTTTTGTTAAATTTATGTCTAAGTATTTTATCCTTTTTGATAGTATTGTAAGTGGAATCATTTTCTTAATTTCATTTTTGAATTGTTTATTGACAGTGGATAGAAAAAAATTAAGTTTTGTATATTGGTCTTGTATTCTGCAACTTTGATGAACTTATTTATTAGTTATAATTTTTTTAGTAAACTTCTTGGGGTTTTCTATATACAAGATAGTGTCATCTATAAATAAAGATATAGTTTTTTTTTACTCCTTCCTTTCTAATTTGGATGTCATTTATTTCTTTTTCTTGCTTACCTGCCTTACTAGAACCTTCAGTTCAACATTGAGTAGAAGTAATAAGAGTGGACATCCTGGTCTTATCCCTGATCTTATGGGGAAAGCACCTAGTATTGTAACTTTAATTGTAGTGTTAGTTGTGGGTTTTTCACAGATACTCTTTATCAGGTTGAGGAAGTTCTGTTCTGTTCCTAGTTCTGTATCTGTTAAGATGATCTTGTGGTTGTTATCCTTTATTCTATTAGTATAGTGTGTTACATTAATTAATTTGGGTGTGTTAAACCAACC